GAAACTCCGTCCCAAAAAAAAAAAAAAAAAAAAAAACATTTAGGCTGTTTCTACTTCTTGGTGATTACAAATGATGCTGCTACGAGCATTTGTGCACAAGTTTTTGTTTCAACATACGCTTCCAAATCTCTTGGGTATATACCTAGGAGTAGACTTGCTGGATTGTGTAATAATTCTGCTTAACTTTTTGAGGAACCACCAAACTGTCTTCAGCAGTGGCAGCACCATTTTACCATTTTATGTCTCACCAGCAATACCTGAGGCTTCAATTCCACCATTTTTGAGATCCACACTTTTGAATGAAAGCACTGCCTTCCTACTCCAACCTGATCCATGGAAAACTCTAGGGTTCGCCTGAAGGCTCATAGTGCTTTGGGGATGTGTGGGAGGGCAGATGGTAGTGGGAGATGTTACAAATGAGGAAATGACACAAAACTAGGCAGGAAGCACTGAAGCAGACTCTGCCTGTAGTACGGGGGGCCAGGATGGTCGGAAGGAACCGCTTTAATGCCTCTGAGGAGGCAGGAAGGAGAGCCCTGCAGAACCAGCACCAAACGTGCTCATCTGTGCTCTCCACCCTCAGTCCACTGTCCCGAGTCCCATGCAGGATGGGTGCCCCATACAGTTGGCATTGATTCCTTGCCCTTGTCTGCCCACATGGTCTATACTGTGAGTCGGCCCCAGTGTAAGAGTCCTGATCCCACCCAGGTGCGGTGGCTCACACCTGTAATCCCAGCACCTTGAGAGGCCGAGGTGGGTGGATCACCTGAGCGCAGGAGTTCGAGACCAGTCTGGCCAACATAGTGAAACCCCGTCTCTACTAAAAATACAAAAAAAATTAGCCAAGCATGGCGGCGGGTGCCTGTAATCCCAGCTACTCAGGAGGCTGAGGCAGGAGAATCGCTTGAGCCTGGGAGGCGGAAGTTGCAGTGAGCTGAGATCACGCCACTGCACTTTAGTCTGGGCAACAAGAGCGAGATTCAGTCTCAAAAAAAAAAGAGTCCTGATCGCATGCAGAGCCAGACCTGGAGCCTCTTCACGCATCCTCTGCCACAGCTTCAGAGAAGTAGGTCTTTAATCAGTGTGCCTAGACGCAGCTGCTGACTGTCACCCCTGCCCCTCCTCTCTCCCAGTCTGTGGACGGCCAGTTACCCCCATTGACCAGAATCAGACGACCCTCGGTTCTTCCAGAGCTAAGCTGGGCAACTTTCCCTGGCAAGCGTTCACCAGTATCCATGGCCGTGGGGGCGGGGCCCTGCTGGGCGACAGATGGATCCTCACTGCTGCCCACACCATCTACCCCAAGGACAGTGTTTCTCCCAGGAAGAACCGGAGTGTGAATGTGTTCCTGGGCCACACATCCATAGATGAGATGCTGAAACTGGGGAACCACCCTGTCCACCGTGTCATTGTGCACCCCGACTACCATCACAACGAGTCCCACAACTTCAACGGGGACATCGCCCTCCTGGAGCTGCAGCACAGCGTCCCGCTGGGCCCCAACGTCCTCCCGGTCTGTCTGCCTGACAATGAGACCCTCTACCACAGCGGCTTGTTGGGCTATGTCAGTGGGTTTGGCATGGAGATGGGCTGGCTAACTACTGAGTTGAAATACTCAAGGCTGCCTGTAGCTCCCAGGGAGGCCTGCAAGGCCTGGCTCCAAAAGAGACAGAGGCCCGAGGTGTTTTCTGACAGTATGTTCTGTGTTGGGGATGAGATGCAGAGGCACAGTGTCTGTCAGGGGGACAGTGGCAGCGTCTATGTGGTATGGGACGATCGTGCCCATCACTGGGTGGCCACGGGCATTGTGTCCTGGGGCATAGGATGTGGCAGCGGGTATGACTTCTACACCAAAGTGCTCAGCTATGTGGACTGGATCAAGGGGGTGATGAATGGCAAGAACTGACCATGGGGCACTTGAACAGGGACTGGCCAGCACAGTGGAGGCCCCAGTCAAGGGAGGGCCGGGAGTGAGGACTGAACCCTGGGGCAGGGGCAGGAGGTGGTGGGAGGCAGGGAAATCCTATTCACATCACTGATGCAGCAAGCCACCATGCAAGAGAAACCCCCACCCTGCAAGCCTGCACCATCCGGACAGGAAGCACGGTCCCACAAACCGCGGCTCCTCACCCTCTACCTCCCTGTCCGCTTGCACTAGGCCACGGAAGCCCTGTGCATCTCAGCAGCTTTCACCTTGAATGTCCTTGGAATCCCCTTCCCCTTCATCTGTTGACACAGCTTTTATACCCACCTCTGGAAGAGTCACCATCTCACCCGCTGAGTATGGAGAAAGGGGTTTTCCTTGCATTTTATTTCTGAAATATCCCTAAGACCCTTCAGTTGACCTTCACACCTTCACATATGCAAGCTGTCGGCTTCACCACCTTCCACAGCTCCAAGATGCGATTACAGAAATAGCTCCTTTTTAAACTTTATGCCCTCTATATGCCAGATGCTTCACCTGTTATTTCACTTAATCCGCATACCATGTTGGCAAAGGATGTGTTATTAGCCATGCTTGACAAATGAGGCAACTGAGGCTCTGGGAAAGGGACTTGCCCAGGTCCCACAGCTGGTGTGTGACTGCAGAGGCTGCTCGTCCCCGTGTGCCGCCATACTTCTCAGCTCCCCTCAGATCTGCTGTGCCACCCACTTTCCCTCCCAGTCCCCACATCCTTACCATTGTCCCTCCCTGGGAATTCCTGCTTCTGTAAAAATGGCATCCTCTGGCTCACACTTTCCTGCTAGCCCCATCTCCTGCAGAAGCCACGTGAGCCCAGCACTGGACTGACGTTCCTGCGGACACCCCACCTGGGCCCCCATCATCAAGAGAACTGTTCCACCTGAGAGGACCAACTCTTTAATTTTTAGTACAGATTGGAGGTGATGGGCCGAGCATGGTGACTCACACCTGTAATCCCAGCACTTTGGGAGGCCAAAGCGGTCGAATCACAAGGTCATGAGATCAAGACCATCCTGGCCAACATGGTGAAACCCTGTATCTATTAAAAATACAAAAATTAGCTGGGCGTGGTAGTGCGCATCTATAGTTTCAGCTACTCGGGAGGCCGAGGCAGGGGAATTGCTTGAAGCCAGGAGGCAAAGGTTGCAGTGAGCCGAGATTGTGCCACTGCACTCCAGCCTGGTGACAGAGCAAGACTCCATCTAAAAAAAAAAAAGCATTGGAGGTGATTTACAGTGAAAGACGCAAGTAAAATATAACTGTTCAATGGAAATAGAAAATAAATATCATAAAAGAGAGAAGAGAGATAATTTGTTAGCATCAAGAGTCAATTGCTGGATAGTCACAGGTTAAATTTATCTCTAAAAAAAATTAGCAGGATTCAACGTTGTCCCTACATGTGGTTACTTCTGTTTTTTACACCTACACACAGTACAAAAGATTATTAAAAATATTCCCAAAAGGCGGGTACAGTGATGTACACCTATAGTCCCAACCACTTAGGAGGCTGATGCAGGAAGATCATTGGAGCCCAGGAGTTCAAGGCCAGCCTAAGCAACATAGTGAAACCCCATCTCCAAAAATGTAATAATAATACTCTCAAAATACTCAACAGAGTAGTTTTAGTTGATAAGATTTTGGCTGTTTGGTTTTCCACTATTCTCTATTTGCTAAATTTTGTTTAATGAGCATGAAACATTCTTTTTTTTTGAGACGGAGTTTCGCTCTTGTTACCCAGGCTGGAGTGCGATGGTGCGATCTCAGCTCACCGCAACCTCCGCCTCCTGGGTTCAGGCAATTCTCCTGCCTCAGCCTCCTGAGTAGCTGGGATTACAGGCACGTGCCACCATGCCCAGCTAATGTTTTTGTATTTTTAGTAGAGACGGGGTTTCACCATGTTGACCCTTGACCTCGTGATCCACCCACCTCAGCCTCCCAAAGTGCTGGGATTACAGGTGTGAGCCACCGCGCCCGACCAAGCATGAAACATTTATTCTATTTTACTTATTTTTATGATTGAAAAAATGATGAGTTTCTCCCTGCCAAGGCAAACATATACACACACACACACACACACACAATTTATACATGTGTGTCTAGATGTGTATCTCTACATCTTCGCCACTGTCTCTAGGTCTAGAGATAGAGATATAGACTAGGAGCTGGAGATAGAGAGGTAGAGGCAGGTTAGAGACAGAGCTGATAGAGACAGATGAGCTGGAGATAGAGACATAGCCACAGAGGAAAACCTACCGCTACTTTAAGAGAGAAACTTTTTTTCCCCAAGAATCAAATCCTTAAAGGAACAAACACGGTAACAGACAATGTCCTCAATACTTGTCTTAAAACAAATGCAGCAACATCCATACGGCGTTTTTTTCCTTCTTTGTATAAGTCAAGGACATAACAAAAATGTGTGAGTAAAGGTTATCTTCAATGGTTGGGCAGAGTGGAGACAGGGCTGGGACTGAGCTAATGACGTCCAGGTTTGCCATGCTCCAAGCATTGTTGCACAATGCCAAGTCAGAACTGAGAGTCCTTAGGATGGTTGGAAGAGCTTCAGCTGAGACTACCTCCTTCCCTGTTCCCTCTGCCCCCATTATGAACATACAGTGTGTGCGTGCGCGCGCGCGCACACACACACACACACACACACACACACGCTGCTGTTAGGATATTAATGTGCAGTTTGCTAGATGAGATTCCTCTTCCTTCTCGTCCCTTCATGTGGTCCTTTTCCTTCTCCCCTATCTTTTGTCTTTTCTGGCCTAACAAGGCTATGGATCATATCCTGATCTGGTCAGAGACCAGCCCTCCATCAGGTTCAGTCCTCAGCTCTGACACACAGGCCTGCCGCAGAAACCCTCCAAGGGTTGGTTGATCTTGCACCTTCTGTGTGCCTGCTGTCTAACTACTGATGACTTGGTCACTGCCTGATGGGGAACTGCATCAGCTCTGTGAATTCTTGCAATCTATTGCCTGGAAAAGTGCCTTGCACATTAAACAGGTAGCCCATAAATGGATGAATGGGGGTGGGGGCAGAAGGGTGGAGGTTGGAGGGACTGATCTCATGAGGGAAACAAGCAGAACCGCTTACAAAGGCTTAAGAACACAGAGGCCTGCATCGCGGCCCAAGCCCCCCATGTGATGAAGTGCCATGAGATATTTGGTGCCATGGAGACTTGATGAAGAAAGGCTGCCAAAAACAGTAATATTGTTTTTTATTTATTTTAATGTTTAAAGATGAGGTCTCACTATGTTGCCTAGGCTGGTCTCGAACTCCTGGGCTCAAGAGATCTTCCACCCTGGCCTCGCAAAGTGCCAGGATCACAGGCATGAGCCACCACACCCGGCCAAGAGCACAGTTTTAAAGCAGGACACTATGGCCTGATGGACAGAAGCGAAGAGGATCCCTCCTCCCTCCCAGGGGCCTGGCTTCATCTCAGAAAAACCAAGTCCCTCTTGCTCCACAGCCGCACCCTCAGCCTCAGCCCTGGCAGTCGTGTTGAGCAGATGCTGAGGAGAAGGGGACATTTTACTCCCTCCACAGCTGCCCCAGAGGGTCTCAAATCCAGGGCTGCTTTAGGGTTGCCCTGACATGGCCATCCCTATTCTATGTCCAAGTGTCATTCATGGCTAAAGCAGGCCAGGGCCCCAAGGCAACCAAGCTCCACTCTCCTCTGCCCGCTCCCACGCACCCTCCTCTGCCCCAGTGTTCCTGGGGCTTCCTCCTGGGCAGGGAAACCAGAGCCATTCTTGGACCAGGACTGCGGGCTGAATGAGGGCAGGAAGAACGGGGACAGAGGGAAAGGACAGTCCAGAAAAGAGAATCCCCCACAACCTGGGGTCTCCCACTGCTTCAGTAGGAACCTTGTAAACACAGCAGCAGCCCTCCCCAAGGAAAGTCTTGAAAGAAAGGAGAAGCTGATCAGATTTAGAGACTGAGGTGTCTGGGCCTACAACCCCGGGCTACCCGGCCCTAAAAATTCAGCCGGGCGCGGTGGCTCACGCCTGTAATCCTAGCACTTTGGGAGGCCGAGGTGGGTGGATCACCTGAGGTCAGGAGTTCAAGACCAGCCTGGCCATCATGGTGAAACCTCATCTTAAGAATAAATAAATAAAATAAAATAAAATTCAGACTCCCTTCTCCTTAGCCCTTCCCCATATAGACCAGCAGGTGGCACCACCAACAGGGATTTCAAAACCAAAACTAAATTAAAGTGGAAACTCAGATCTTTTGTTTATGCAAATAGTTCATTCCCTCCAGCATTTCTCCGGGAATGGTCCCCCCTCCACTCCACAGAAAACCCTCCCATCCCTGCTGTGCATGACCGCAGCCTCCCTCTGCACACAGTGCATGAAGAGGCTGTCAGAAGAGCCCAGGACTCAACACCAGCCTTGAGAAATGTGAGTAAGGGCGATGGGCACCCAGGTGGGAAGGAGAAGCCAGGAGAGAAGCCAGGGCATGGGAGGCAATTCAGGGAGACAGGAACACCCTGCCCTCCCCACACACCTCATCAGTCCCCCTGTGCACACACATGGACACACACAAAACACGCCCCATCCCTCCTCCTAACGACCAGAGGAGACCTTGTGCATAGAGGCTCATGCCATGGCCCTTTCTTCCTGCTGGGCTCACAGCAGGGAGCAGCGAGAGGAGGGGACCACCTGCCCAGGAGGGGACCCCCTGTGCATGTACCCCACACTCCACCGATGGTTTCTCCCAGACACTCTTGCTGAGTCTCTGGGACCCCTTTCCGAGAGCCATGACTGGAAACACTCACCTCTCATTAACTGGCCTCAAGCCAGTCCTATTCCTGGAAGGGGAGGGGAGGGATGTGGCCAGGCAGTGGGGGAGGCTGGGGAGGGAGTATGAGGGGAGTGGGGTGGCCTCTGGACTGGACACTGCCCTGGGGAGGGACACAGATGCAGCAACTGCAGAG